TTATTAAATTAATATTTGATTTTTTTTCATTATTTTTTTTTTTCTTTTGCTTTTTTTATTTTTTTACTTTTTTTTTTTTTTTTTTTGCTTTTTTTTGGTTTTTTTTTTTTTTTTTTTTTTTTTTTTCTTTTCTTTTTTTTTTTTTTTTTTTCTTTTTTTTTTTTTTTTTTTTTTCTTTTTTTTCTGATAGCAGCAAAAAAAAAAAAAAAATTGTCCGTATTATTCCACGTTTTCAGCTAGTTTAATATACCATGCCATTATTATATTATTCTATATATTTCTTTTAAACACAATACAGTGTATATTGATTTTCAAGAAATAAATATAAACTTATTATTGTCTTATTGTTGTCAATTTTTTTATATTCGTGTTAAATCACGTGTTAAATGCTAAACTAAATTGTACCACCATAAATTCATAAATCTATAACTTTTTTTAACGATATTTGATTTCTTACTCGCTTTAGAATGTCGGACGTATCGTCATCCAATGTCGCGTCTAATCAAGAAATTCAGGAATCAAACATAACACTCATTAAAACAATTAAGAATTATCTTGCAAGCAAAGACTATAAATTTTATGTTGTTGCGTCTGCTACAGTGATACTGGCTGGAATTGGTCTATATTTCTTTTGGACTCCAAAACCTCCAAAATCAAGAACACATAAGCCGTCAAATCGGTCGAAAAGAAATAAAATTTCAAAACAGACAGAAAGTAGAGAGACAGATTCACATTTTGGTGCATGCTTGTTATTCACAATTTGTCTAAGATTATGCGAATTATTTATTAATATATTTCAGCGAGGGACAAGGGAATCAGGAATAGAGAGGAGGACGCCGAAGTCGAAGAATTCGAAAAATATTCTACTGAACAAATCACCGCATTACCCAGAGAGGTGTTTATGATATAATTTATCTAAATCAAATTATCGAATATATTTGTCTAAATATTTCTTTTTTGCAGAAGCGTGTCACGGCTTCAAAACTACTTAAAGATCGAGGGAACATCGCATTTGGACAAAAGAATTATCAGAAGGCTATAAAACTCTATACCCAAGCGATTGCCTTTAATCAAGACGACCCTATTTTTTATAGCAATCGAGCTGCATGTTATTATAACATAAATGAATATTTAAGGGTTATAGATGATTGTAATAGCGCGTTGGAGATGGATCCTTGTTATGTTAAAGCTTTAAATAGGCGTGCGATGGCATATGAACAAACTGCACGTTATGAAGAATCATTGCATGGTATTATTGCTATATCTTTGTTAAAGATTAATAACACATGATCGTACTAAAAATATAATTTAGATTTTACTGCGGCCTGCATTATTGGAGAGTTCAAGAATGACAATGCTGCCGCTTCGATTGATCGTCTCTTGAAAAAAGTGGCTAGCATCAAAGCCAAAGAAATTATCAAGGTAATAAATAAACCACTTATAATGATTTATTGCCTTGTCTTTTTGTTTATTGATTTATTATTTACTTATTTATTTATTTATTTTATATTAATTATTATATAAAAATAAAACAAAGAACCGAAAAAAACGCCTACCATCGACAAAGTTCATTTCATCATATCTAGATTCATTCCGGAAAGGTATGAATATATCCGGTGACTTTTCGGTTTTTCCTGATATCAATTCAATATTTTAGTATTCGACCACAGAACCTGTTGATCAAAACGTTGAAGCCAATAGTGAACCAGAAAATACCAACTCTGCTCAAGTTTCTGATCTAGATTCAGAAAATCATGCAGACAATTTATTTGACGCAGCAGAACGGTTCTTAAGACAACAACGGTATGAAGAAGCCATGAATGCATACGGAAAAGCTATAAATCTTGGATGTACTAAGATGGCCAAGGCTCTCAATTTGAGAGGTACCTTCACTAATTTAATGGGTGATTCACGGAGTGCTTTGGCGGATTTCCAAAGAGCTCTCGACTTAAAACCCGATTATGTTCAACTTTATGTAAAGCGGGCTACCATTTATACGGAGCAAGGTATTTATGATACCGAAATTGTAATATGTAAAGTGGTATATATTTCAATGTGACGAGGATAGGATAGAAAACAAAATCATTGATAGTATTAAGAATGAATATGGCTAATATATGCACAGCTCTAATAATTCATGTCATTTTATAAAATTTATAACTAGGTGATATAGATGAAGCATGGAAAGAATTTGATAAAGCTATCAGAATAGATCCAAAAGATCCTGACATATATTATCACAGGTTTGTTTAATATTTTTAACACGTTCTAATGAAATACATAATTTATATTTATACACACTTCAATGTGAAATGTTCGATCGTGCTGCCTGTTAAAAATAATTAATCTGAGCAAGATCACAAACATATATACATGGTCAAATAAATAT